AGGTAGTAATAAAAAGAGTATCACAATGCCTTGGAAGCGACACATCGAAACGTCAAGTTCAGTTCATCGCCTGCTGTATGAATTCACGTTTGCGAATGAATGACCACTTGACGCGATGGAGAGATCCCAAGCCCAGTTGGCGAGCTACATACCAGTAGTTTTCTGTATACACGCCCCGTGATCGATCAGTGATAAAATCAGTGTATGACGTTGCTTTTAGTTTGAACAATTTAACTTGCCGACATGATAACTATTACAGAGTTATGACATTGTCTTCGGTGTCAAGGGCGGGTGTCTGTCTATTTACTATACATGTTTTAATTTTCGTTTTAGTTGACTTGTTCTTCAGTAGCATATACAAGACTAATTTTGAATAAAACTATTTTATGTTATGCGTGTTTTAATTTTCGTTTTAGTTTACTTGTACTTATTTTTAATAAAAATATTTTCTAAAAGGGCGGTTTGTTTACTATACATGTTTTACAGTGGGCGCAAACAAGATTCAAGTCTTACTGAACGTTGCAATATAGCGAGACATGCTTAGCGGCACTGTTTTGAAAACGATTTGCTACATTTTGCAACAATCTCACTTTTCCTGGCAACACTTGATTATCGACAAATTATGTTTTGTCTCGATACATATTATGGCTGAGTGGTTGTCTGTTTTCACATTGTAACATTATTTTGACTACACAACCACGAAGCTCTTGGATGCTAGCCCTGCATACAGTGCTGTGTGTACGGGGGTGCGTTTGGTTGATAGACGACCCCACCACAGCCCGGCGTACCTCCATAGACTGTACACAGGACTACCTAGATCCATGATACGATACAATATAGCACAACAATGAGAAATGATGCTTTTTTACATGAGGTAAATAATTTCCGCATAACTATGGGAGTCTCGCCACACTTGTACAAACTTGTCCTTCAACAATGTCGGCACATTCGTAGGACTGTCACCCCCATGGGTCGAATGGTATTGCCCTATTGTTAAACGCTAACCAAAATTAGTAAACAACATGGCGGACTCGACTCCCCGGAATGCCCGGGCGTCGATCATAAAAAGTGTGGATAGCTGCTCGAATTCGCCACTCTGGTTCAAATTTTGAGCATAAACGAATATTATACAGTACAAGGATTGCTGCCGCTGCCCCGCGCGTTAGGTATTCCCCCTGTTTGCTTCCGCGCGTGCCCGGACACTCCCTCGCGTGTCCGCGCGTTAAGTAGTAGACCCGTAATATCAAAGCAATTGAACTTTTGGTTTTTAACAAGAAGTCGAAAATATCACTTTTTACCAAGAATTACAAAAATATTCACCAAAATTAGAGAATTGAAGATATCATCACAAAA